GGGCAAGGGATTGACTGATGGAATGGTGATCGAGTGCGGTTCATCTGTCCAGAGGTGAGGCGGCCTCCGCAGTATTGTCCAGCATATGTTGAATGGTGCCATGAACAGATGTACATCGGTGTGGATAAGGGGTGAGCGGGTGGCATAAACGCTCCTTAGGCTGGTTGAACCACACATCGTAAGTACTCCCATCAGACGTGTTCGGGAATGTCAAGTGGAGCGAAACGTTGTGCCATTGTATCAAACATGGCAAGCTTGCACGGCGTTTTCAGGGAACCGTTTTTGCGAATTGTCGCTTGAAGGGAATGAGGTAAGTTTAATATTGTCGATTTCCACAATGCAAAATGAAATAAAAGTAGAAAGCCGACTTAGCTGAATCTACCATGAAATGATTAATTGACAGTGCTGAGGTGGAGCTTAAACACGGCAAGTTACGTGGAAAAGTGCACTTAAATGGGTTTGCGTAGCTAAAAAAAATGAGTAATGCAGTATAGAAAGGGTGATCGAAGCATTAAAAACTTACGATTCCCTTTGTTCCTATTTAAAAGGGTATCTAAATCGGTTCAGTTGTGTCATCCACTGAGTCGAATAGTTGATTAAACACTAACCTAGTATGCACTAAGTAAGCTCACCAATAATGACAAACACCATTGGAGGAAACGAAAGAGGAGACAGAATTTCTTGAATGAAGTTAGCCTACTGGCTTCACAGTTCGTTGCAGAGCTACCCGGAATCAATTAATCAGGGATTTCGCTTTAAAGTAAACTGTCTAGCTGCCTTAAACCTTTAAATGAAAGTTCCGAAGGGAAAAAAACAGCCGCTTTTCAATCTCCTACTAAGATCGAGAATCACAGTTATATACATTCAACACATTATAAAAACTGGGCGTAGTTGTAGTACGGGCGACACCTCGTACCTCACAGGTGATGGTTAAAGGTTAATAACGCTGACAGATGGCAGAGATAGCGCTAGATGGATTCGAGTTCTATGTACACTACATAGACAATCGCGTGCAGAGGAATCAAACCATTGACTGATCTCCTCTGATACACCAAAGACGCAGTGGAATCCTTGACCGACAAAAAGGTAAGCCAATGGTGCTGCAAAAATAGAAGCCGAGGGATTCACAAAATGCTACTCTAGGTAGAAGGGATAATCAGAAGTTTTGAGAACAATTCAGACAAACTTGAACAGCACACGTTTTTATAATTACTCATAATTTCGCAATAGGAGAGGAGAGGGAAGGGAAGTTAACGCATAGAAATGTAGGAGTTGATGCGTAGCCAGTCAAAATCCACTTTGACAGAAGTTGTGCTTTGAAAAGGCAATGGTAAATTAGTGGTAAAGTCAAACTGGTTTCTCCATTTATAAACTGCTTAGAAAGAAAGAGTGCAACGTGCGAATTCGCTGACATCAAGGGGAAAAGTTCCAAACACAACTCGGAATTACTGTAAAAAGTTGCAAAGGGAGCAATATTTTCCACCAAAACCATTAAAGTATGGACTTTGGAAGAAAAACGAAAATCTACTCAAGCCAAATATGGGTGGAGCACTTCAATATAACTCCCTAAACAAAATCCGAAGACTGCAAACAGAATCCAGAACCAGTGCATGGTGGAAGCTACATCACCACTACTATCCGTAGGACTATTTCAAATGAACCCCAAGATTACACAACTCTCACTCACTGACGAAAGGTAGGCGTGACCTGGTTCAAAATCTTCCTCCACTGTTAACGTGTGGGTAGTTGTCTCGGTGGTAGACTCTGTAAGGAGCTGTGAAAATGTCGAAGTCGCCGCTGCTTCCAATAGAGAGGTAGTGGAGGATGAGTCTGAGGAGGCCTTCTCGTCACCTCCATCACGTTCTCCACGCCACACACGATATTTGTGATTGCGGCGATGATGATTATGATGATTACTGTGGTGATGGTCATGATGACAGAGTTGGACGAGAGAAGGCAGCGACTGGACGAGATCTTCAACTACCACAGGAGATGGTGATGACCGACTGAGGTCTGCTTTGTCGTCTTCTGTTGCCTTCCTTAATGGAGCTGATGGCGCCTCCTTTGTTGCAAAAATGTTGTTAGAAGTTGGTGTGGCATCTGAGGGTTGGTTGAGCTTGGTCACAGAGGGAATCGAAATGGAAGTCATGATACTAGCCAGTTCACGCGCTAAGGCACCGTGCGATCTAAAGCAAGGTATAGAGGAGAGCCATTAGTTGGAAAGATCAAAGATGAAATTAAGGAATACAACCAAAGAGTATCGGGGGTAGGTTAATCACTTTTAAGCAGCTAAAAAGCCTAAGTTAACAGAATAATGGGTAGTCAGACCTAAAATACACCAGAGTAAACGAATACATGCACGAGTAGATGAGCATGTGAACAATAGAAAGTAAGTATGAATGTTCGTGGGAAGGTTTCCCCCCAAAAAATTGAGCTTGCCTAAGGTTGATAATAAGACAATTGCAAGTCTCGCTGCTTTACGAAATACATGTCATAAGATAACTTCCCGACTTCCCATTAGGCATTGTATGTGCATACGGTAGTCGAATACTGACTACCAAGAGGAGGGAAGATTATCGTTCCAAGTGAAGCAAGAAGGGCTTCAAGTGGGTACACCAAATTTAGCACAAACGAAAAGTGGCCGGAATCAAAACAAGAAACGCCCTCTGCACAAGGCACACACATAAAGTGGCCAACTTCTCAAGCTCTCATAAATCACAGCACATCATATTCCAACGAGGTACAAACCAGACCCCATGAACATGTCGGCTACCGAAGAATTTGCATTGTAAATGTAAAAGTAATGAGGCCACTAATCACTTTTGGCTATTCATGCTTAACTTAGACGAAAACTTGGTGCAAAAGTATAAATTGGCACATTTTACTTCACTTGAAGGGAGGAACCTGGCAGAAAATAGCAGTGACAATAGAGAATTCTGTAAGCTCATTAAAGTAATGCGATAAGTTTCAATGAAATGGAAGATATGCTGTTTGAGATTAGTCTCATTAGTGGATTTGGGTCAAAAGTTCAAACGCTCAACATTTTGTGATTTTGCACACACCAAAGAATAGGCTGAGGCGAATAAATGAGGGAATCAGGACCGTGTAGAGTCCTAGAAGACGAATAAATGATAAAAGAAATGATCACAGATGTGTGTAAATGATCAAGTTGGAAGGCGTAAATGAAGGTGCCAAATCCAAAGGGCATTTCAGGCGAAGAAAGAAAGGAATGTACAACTTAGCATTTTAGACTTTATCATAAGCACCCAGTTAACAGCGAATAAATGTATGAAGGGATTCGTGATAAGTTGATGCATTCGTTAAGCATGGATAAACTAAGGATAAAGGAGCGGATGAAATACGGATAAGTGTTTCCTAAAATGAGCGAAAGTTTTCAAATGAATTAATGCATGGGTAGATGTACTAGAGAGCGCAAGATGAAGAGAGCCAAACTTGGATTGATACAATGTGGCAAGGTGGACAAGTATGCAATGGAAGAGTGGAATTGAGCAGAGTGAGTGAGTCTCGGCAGATTGATGAATAATAAATAAGTAAAAGCTCTGCTAGAAATGAGATTAGCAACACTAACGTTTCTGCAGTTCAAAAAACATGTGATTTTGCCTTTATCGTGGTTCATTGATAAATAGCCTAAAACGCCTTGAAGATTGCGCTCTAGCTTAGTTATCCTGATTGGCAAGGTAGGGTCAAGATGTACTAATAATTACTATAAACCTAGGTGCAACAGAAATGCAATAAATGCGTAGGAGAGGGGCTAAAGCCGATCTCCATAACCAGGCAATAGTCACGTGGGCATGTAGTGGAACCTAGTTGTTCCCACCTATCTCCAAATACAAGAAAGCGTTAGAGTCCAGCTAAAGGCTCCAATTGGAAGGTCGACAGAATCCACGTTCACGGACGCAGCAAAAGAATCACAAAGAATAGGCAAATCAAGGCAAAAGAACGCATTCGTGACGCTCCCAACCCATCGTCAGCTTCCTAAACCAACTTTAACGAGTCAATCCATTACCTAAAGTGCAGATAAAAATAACTGTGTGACGTGGAAATCGACAATATTAAACTCAACTCATTCCCTTCAAGCGACAATTCGCAAAAGCGGTTCCCTGAAAACGTCATGCAAGCTTACCATGTTTGATACAATGGCACAACGTTTCGCTCCACTTGACATTCCCGAACACGTCTGATGGGAGTACTTACGGTGTGTGGTTCAACCAGCCTAAGGAGCGTTTATGCCACCCCCTTCACTCCTTATCTACACCGATGTACATCTGTTCACGGCACCATTCAACATATGCTGGACAATACTGTGGAGGT